CAACACTGTTTTCAGCACAAATCTGAAACACAACCCCATACTAGCTGTGAAGAAAATTAACTCTATCCCAGCCAAAATCAGCACGCAGAGATAAAGCAAGCAAATTTTTTTTTTCAGTATGAGTTAACTCATTCTTTGTAGGTTTGACTAATTTATCAGCTAGGAGATAGGACTGAGGGATTTTGAAACCTGAGAATATCACAGTGATTATCAACTTTCTACCAAAAAATTTAAAGAAAATTTAATAATATGTTTTTATTTTTAATATTAATGCAGTGAATACTTTTAATTTCTATTTTCTATATTTCAATATGTTTTCACTTTAAAATTCCAGATATCTGTGATTTTAATGCTCTTAAAATCAAGGTTTTGATCTTTTACTCCATATGCTATGGCACAGCTGTGGCTTTAGAGAATTCTGCTCAAGACTAAGAAATATTTTAACCAATTTGTACAGACAGGAAACAGATGCTGTTCCAGCTGTGAAATAGGCCTAATTTGCTTTAAATTAGTGCCCATGTGTGTGTGATCCATTGCCTTCTGGCCTAACTCAAGGCTTCCTTTCTCAAACCTGCTGTCACATGAGGCCTGCAAGAATGGAATTACAGAAACTGAACTGATGTGTGTCACTGTTACTTGCAAGAAGCAAGTAACAGTGCAAGCAAGAAGCAAAAAGTAATCCAGTTTATGGATTATACTTTATTTATTGAATGAGTTTTTCTGAATGGAATAGGGAAAATGAGAAAACATAAGAAAAAGAATTGAAGACATTGCTGTACAGAAGTATACCACATGTGTTACAACCAGAATGATGACCTTCATAGCCTAACATTAGTCCCTGCCTTCTAGTTTGTATTCTTTTCTTTTCATTATAATTTAGTATGCAAGTCATAATGTTTATTTTTCACTGTAATCGTTGACTGTTGTGCACAGTGATCAGCAGGTAGCAAAGTAGAGTGCTCTGAAAACTTTTTATTAAATATTTCTATTGTACAGCTAAGTTATGTACCAACAGGGGGCACAAAAATCTGCCACAGAGAATTTAGATATGGTTGATGTTATTTTGAATTAGGGGGATGGATCAGATGGCCTCATAAGATTTTTTTGGCTGAATTTCTGATAGTTAACATTTTAGTGAAAAAATGTCTTGTGGAAAAATTTTTTCATAGGTCCAAATCCCATTTAATTCTTGAAAGCAGTGCAGAAGACCTAATGAAAATGTGTGAAAGTCACACTTGTCTTATACCACTAAACTTGGTATTTCTATCACCTCAAATGTAGAGGAGAAAAAAGTCATAAAACATGGCTGTTTCTCATGCATCTATTGTAAACTTACTTTAATATGGAACTTCCCACAGTCTTGGAGAAGCCCATAGGCTGAGGCTACAGGAACCAAATTTATTCATTGAGTGTTACATTTGAGCAGTTTGAGCTGAGAAGGACTAGTGCAGCTCTTCCTTGTAAAGATTTACTGCGGATGAGAAAATTTACTACACATGAGAAAATTAAAATTTTATGGTCTGTTCAAATTTTTAGAACCACGTGTGTTTTAAAATAATACTTGAGTATGCAAATCATTTCATCCAAATAGCACTATGAGAAGTTTTAAAGTCATGTGGTGCAGGTAGGATTTTTAATTTATTTTGTGAGTCCAGTGAGAGATCTGGTCAAAAAATCACCACTCAAAACATGTAATTATTGTTACCATGGTGTATGAATGTCTTAAGTTTGCAGACAGCATTAATAAACTTTCTGAAGTAATGTAGCTATTTCAGATATCTGCATACAGATATTTGTTGAACTTGAAGGTCTTGGAAGTCTTTCCAACCTAATTAGTTCTGTGATTCAGTGATTCAGTGACTGCTCTGTGAATGTCAGTGAATGATAAAATATGCTCTGGTGTGTGAAAAGTCTGATCTAGTAACTGTTGGCCTTCTTTAAGATTCAGCTCTTCATCATAGGCTCTGGTCACTACAGTGTGTTTGTGCTGTGCAAAAGAATCATAAAATCCTCACTGTAACTAACAGGCATCTGGAGAACATCTAGTCCGTCTCCCACTTGAAGCAGACCTGTTGCCAAATGGGATCAGTTCAACCACTGCTCTGTTTAGCCAAGTCTTGAAAACTTCGATGGATAGGGCTCTCTGTTCCAGGGCTGCTTCACCTTTCTAATGAAAAAGTATTTCCTTTTTGTGTGCTGTGAATCTCCAAAGCTGTAGGTCTAGGCCATTTCCCCATGTTTTACCATGCAGCACTATTGAGAAAATTTTGTTTCATTCATGTTTTAACTCCTCTTCAAGTAGTTGCAGGTTGCTGCTGAATTGCCCCTTAGCTTCCTCTTCACAAGAATGAGCAAGTTCAGTACCCTCAACCCCTCCTTATAAGTCAGTGCCAGAGGCCCCTCAAAAATCTGAAAGCCATTTGTGTGATCCTTCCCAGTTTCTAAGTATCATCTTAAACTGATGTATCTCAAAACTGCACACTGACTGGCTCAATTTTGCTTTTTTGCCAGTAAAGGTAATAATAAAAGCACTAATTTAAAATCCACACCAAGTTGCTGAGCAAAGCAGTTATGGTATATTCAAACCAAAGGGGAAAGCAGAAAACTACAGGGAAGTTAAAGAGCCTTCTGAAAGCATTTAATAAAACAAGTCTTTATTTGTTTGGCCTGAAATCTTGAAAGATATTGCAACTTCAACAGGCCACTAAACTAAAAAACTGGCAGGAGAGCTGTTTTTGAAGACCTAGCTTGATGTCTAGAAATAATTAACAATATAACCTTATTGTCTTAGAAATTCAGATGTGTGCTACAGCTCTAAGAGGGACCAAGTAGAACCTGCTGGCTGCTGTGTTTCTGGAGCACAGGATGGGGCTGGTAAAATGGGTACCCATTGCTGCACCTCCCTCCTTCTCTGAGTGATTTACAGTCCCTGGTGTAATGTGTGCTCCTGGCCCAGCAGCCCCTCTGAAAGTCTCACAGTTAGAAACTCTCACCAGCCTGAATCTTTACTCCTGAGGTTTTCAGCTCATGTTCTCTCATTCTCTTGCAATTCTGGGAATGCTCTGGTCTCTACACAAATGCTAACCATTGTCTCCAGCTTTCATCATCTAGAAATGAGGCTCTTTGTTCCCCTTCATTCTGGCTATTTCTCCTTAAGTAGGTGAAAGGAGACAAGTGGCAGCCCTTGCCTATCTAAAAGAAAATCTTTTATAAGCAGAATCAATGGGGGAACATTAATGCTTATAGAAGCCATTCTAAAGATATAAATTAAGGTATCCTGTTTTGAGTGTTTTCTATCAAACAGTGACCACCAAAGAAAAAAGGTATAGGTATAATCTTTTGACTTTTGCTTTACTTAAGTAAAATAACTGTAAAATTTCATGCAGGTGTGTTTTGTAGGTTGTTACCTTGATTTAGAAGCACATATCTCCTTAATTCTGATTGTAGCATCACTGTAATCTGTAATCCAGAACTGCAGGTTTAATCAAAACAATCTGCTATTTGTATTAATATAGATTTGGATTCATCAAATGGCATGATATTTGCACCTTTTTGCACATTTTTGAGTTACATATTTTATAGATCAAAAACTGTTTACAAGTTCATAAAATACCACTGTACACAGTTATGAAATGGTGAACATCATTGTTCAGAGAAGATCATGAGGCAGAATGTCATTGTAAGAAAAAGGTTTGCATATGTTCGGTAGGAAAAAGGGTGGGAAATATGGAAGAGAGCAGATCTTTATGTGAATTCTAAAAGCAGGCACTGAGATAGAAAGCTCTTTTTGCAGCAAACATATGCCTGCACATTGTGGTTAGTAGATCATGGAATGATATTTGCTTAATATGCCCAGAGAAGTTTCTGAAAAGTAAGTCATGCAACAGGCAGGGTCCAGGGCCGTGACCTCAAAGTTTCATTTAATCTGCCAGCTGTGTTGAAAATATTTCCATATGGTTACACTGACAACTTTACCATAAAACACAATTCTTTGATCTCTGTTAGTTTATGCAATCAAGTGGGTAAAGAATGTTGGTGTTTTGTAAAGGTTTTTTTAAAAACAAATATAATCAGTACTGAGAATTGGATTGAAAGACAAGCTAATATCCTGGCTGGCATTACCAGGTACTATCATGAGAGATTAGGTTCAGAGGCCAATTTAAGGACACATCACAGGTTTTCTGAAATTCTCTCTTTCTCTTTTCCATGAGTTAGGATTTAGAATTTGGCCTTTGACTGGTGTTTGGGAGAGCACTGCTTGAAAGTCCTTGTCATTGACAGGGGTTGATGGCTAATCATGAGTGGTTCTGTGCTGGAAAGCTGCATGACACGTAAAGTAATTTAGAAATGCTCTATTTTTTCCATTTGGCAGTCAAGGTTTAATAAAATAGCAATTTCTTGAGTCTGTCAGGCAATAACTAGACTGAGGGAGTGGATATATGAAAATATGTCCTGATTCTAGCCCTCACATACTTGTTAGGTTGCTGCAGAAGAATGGGCTTGGCATCGTCACCAGTGACTTGTTCTGTTTCTCAAAGCAGGCAGCTTGGACTTAGAGGTACTCTCAAGTCTTATTAACAAGGCCTAGACTGCTCTTTACTGTCAAATTTTAATGGATATCCAATGACAGGAATGTAAGAAAATATTTTTTCTGTTACCTCTTTTACATATGAAGATCTATGTTTTTTTTTTTTTTTTGCATTTTGCAATGCCAAGAAACTGTTGAAACAGTATCAATGTGTGCATTACAGTAAATGCCACCAGAAAGTTCTTGCTGTTCCTGATTCCAATTCTGCCTCTTGTTGGGAAATACAACCTGACAGTCATGTGTTGGCTGGCCTGGCTTCTCAGGGTGATTTCATTCTCCTAACTGTGTATCTGCCACTCCTGGCTTTGCCGTATCACTCAGATGTGTCTTTAGAGTAAACAGATATGTTAGGGCCTCTTCACCTTCATAACTGCAACACAGAAGTTCTATCAGTGTCTTTCATTTGTTTCAGAGGACCATCCAAAACAGAAATTGTAATAGAGAGTGAGGAAATGCGGGACCAAAAATGGCTGAATCTGCACCCAGATTGGAAGAATAAAAATGCATCCACTTTACATGCACTTCTAGTGAATGGGTAAGTAACAGGTTAAAAAAGATCTATTTCCCTGCTGTGGGTGGTCACTTATCAATGCAGGATGTCAAACTCTCTTGTAAGCTCTTTTTTCCCATGGTGTCTGTGTATAAATCCCAGCACATACTCATGTAAGTTGTTAAGATACTTTCTGCAATTATTTTAGTGCCTACAACCACTGTAGTCTCTTTTGAGACCTTTTTGTGAATCCTCTGGGCCCCCTTCTGGTACAATAAGAGCATTTGAGTGATACAGAGGTGATGCCCTTGAAGCACCTGGACCAAACAGCTTTGTTAAATCTGCTGAGACAGAAAGTCCAGCAAGTACTATAGAGCAAAATCTGCAAACACATTTTACCATCCTCTGCAGCCTGTGTAGTCTGGATTCATTAATTTGGAGTAACCACAGCTCCTTCAGTAGAGGCTATATCCACTTACAGTAGGTTTCCCTAGCTCTGGATTCAGATGATGGTATATTCCTTTTAATTAACCCAACTAAACAGTTGTTAATGAGAAGCCAGGATTTCATGGTTGAGACATTCAAAGTGTGACTATGAAGAGCCAGTGAACTAGAAATCCAGGCCAAAATCGGAAAAGCCATCTAATCCCCATTGGCAACTGTGTTCTTCAAAAAGCAGATTCATGGTTTCCCTCCTATTCTCTTTGAAATGCCCAGGAGCTTTCAGAACATCCTTCTTCCATAGAAAATCCTTGTGTTTCACAAGAAAAGATTGTCTTGGGTAACTGCAGAGATACAGTATGTGTGAAGACAAAAATCTGAGGAAGAAATCTACTTTTCTTTTGCTTGGCTCTATTATTTTCTATACTCAAAGTTTTCCCTAGTGGCAGAATACTAAAAAGATTGTGCCTGCAAGGACCTAATTTTGCTTTCTTGCATCTCAATTTTGTGCCTTTTTTGTTTTACGTTGGTATTTTCCCCATTCCTTTAAGTTAATTTATAGTTTTTCATCTAGAAGGACCATTACTGAACAATACTTGAAAGTTGTCTTAACTCCTTGATTTTCCTTTCTCACTGTCTTTTTCCTCTAGCCTAACAGTATCTAAATGCTTTTCTCCAGAGTAATACAAGAATAAACACCTTGGGTTGTGACCAGATGCAAAGGCAGATCCACAATCATATTCTGCTCAGTCACTAAAGTGCAAAGCAGAAATTTCAAGGTACTTTTTGACATTTTTGGAAGAGGTCTGCTAGGAAACGTATGAAGTAATGGATCTGGAGCCTCTGAGTTACAAATTGTAGCTGTAAAAGATTTAATTTTGCCCAAAGTGCAGGTTAAAGGAGGGAAAGCATCAGTAATGAGGATTATTGTTAAATCAATAGCATAAATGAAAGATACATGTAGGAAACAGATCTTCCAGTCCCCCTGAATTCAGAAAATGGACAACAAGAAGTGAGAGGCTGAGGAGGAAGGGTGCATGAAGGGTGAAGCTGTTTTAGTTTGGGCTGCATCAGGCATCCAGTCCAGATGACTGAGAAGTGCTCCTGAGCCCTGCAGTCTGGGGGTATTCATCTGTGTCACCTGCAGCATGTAAAATGTTTGTGCTGTGCAGTATGTTGAATGTTTAAAGGAGTTGCCAGGCTTCTGGACTAACGGGAACTTGGCCAAGAACTAACAAATACACCACTAAATCATAACGTTTCGATAGGAGGGAACAGCACAGTGCAGGCAGTGCACACATAAAAGCTTAAGTTTTCTCTTTAGAGCTGGCTGAATGGTAAGTCAAAGAAACAAGTGTAAAACACAAGTATGGCTGGTGTTATATTCTGTGTATTTTCTTTGCCTGTCAAAATTGTGCACAAAATTAAATTTGCAGAAATTTATTGTCTATCTCTACCACCTCTAGAAAAATAATTTTGTGAACTGGGTTTTCAAGAAGAGAAATAGACTGATTTTTACAGTATATGAATGAGGTACATTCAATATAAGGGACAAAGGTTTGGTTAAATTCCAGATTCAAAGTAATCTGTTGGGCTGGCTGACACTGTTGTTTTGCCCAGTTAGGATCTATGACTTAACATGAAATGCAGCCTCTTTTGAGGTGATTGCAGTTTTAAAGATACTACCTTCTTGCTGGGATTGAAGTCTGCAAAGAATTACCTGGCAAAGAAATGACCTCTGTATTCAGCTCTGCACCTGCCTCAGAAAAGCATGTACAAAGGAGGAATGAAAAAACAGTGGAAATAAAAAGGCAATCAACTAGTTGTGCAGCAGTGCTTGCTGTTTAACTGTGATTTCTCCTCCCTTAACAAAAGAAATCAATTCTTTCCTCTTTTACCTGAAGATTTTCAACAGAAATAATAAATTTTTGTTGTTCTAATACCTACTTCTGCAGACTTCCTGGATTCTGTTAAAACAGCCAAACTCTTAGGGCATGAAAGATCATCTGTTAGCAAAGACATTTCAAATGAAATCCTGTCCTTTGAGTGTAAGGAAGAGGAGACTGGCAATCTGTGCTTTCAGGTGCCGTAAATAAGAACTTGACAGACTGTGCATCCCAGCTGACCTCAGAGCTGGATCCATGCCCAGGGAGCAAAGTAGTCTGCAAAATATATGATATCTGCTCATGAAATGTATTGTAAAGTTGAACTAATATTTTCAATTATCTTCAGGCAGATGCTGGAAGCCATGGATGATCTGGCATAAGAAGCTCCTTGAGTGTCTTTTTACAGTTTGAGGGAATTTTTAACAGCTGGTTTACAGCAATGAATACAATACCTGTGCTGATTTTCAAATTACCAAAATGAATCAATTAATGAGATTTCCACCATGTTTTGTTTCAATATTTAGACAGACGTGTCAAAGCAGAAGCAAAGTGGCTCTCTTTTGCACTAAAGAAGGTAAGAGAGACGTGCTTATAAAATATTTTTCAAAATGTGTTAAATCATTTTAAAAAATGCAGATGTTTAGTGTGGATTAATTCTGTAACTTTTACTAGATCTCTGCAACATCTAATTTTGCACTGGGTTTATTTTTCCCTACTTTACTCAGTTTCATCAGCTTTTCTTGTGTTTTGACTAGGATGCTGTGTGTTAAGGTAGCCCATTCCTGATACCACAAAAGGAATTCTGTCAGCAGTTAGTTTTCAAAAAGTAATTTGATAAAACTTCCTGCTGAAAATATTCTTAACCAGCAGAGTGGTTAGCATCTGCCTGGGAGTTGGAGCCGTGGTCTGTTTGTTAAGTTCAAGAGGACAGAAGAACCAGAAGTAGAAAGCTATGGACCAAGTGTGTTGGCACAGTGGGTTGTGCAATTTTAAGTGGTTTGAAAATGCAGAAATTCTTCATCTCTGATGAAACCATGTTCTACAGACAAGAAGAGCTTTGCTGAAGAACACTTGAACTATGAAGTAGCTTGAGTCAAGGAAAAGGAATTACAAGACAGGAGCTAAATTTGGGAAACTAATCAAAACATTTGCTGCTTGTCAGAGAAAGGCAAAAGCTCAAAGGAGCTTTCAGAAAGCTTGTTGAAGTTATTTTGTTCTGACATATGTTGCTTACTCTCTTAAGTTAAATGAACACAGTAAGAATTATAAGGTACAAAAAACCATTGCTCCAGTTTATTTCTTCAGCACTGAATTCCCAGATACATGCAATGGCAGCATATCCTCCCTTGGGATGCTAGTTGCAGAAACTGGTGGTGTTCTTTTGTTCTCTAAATTAGACTGAGTATAAACAGAATAAATAATAAGCCTGGCATCTTTCAAATCCAGAAAAGAAAGTGAAACAAAAGTGAAGGATTATTTTATAATAGTAACTGGCAGGTGGTAATCTGGTGTAATTTCTAGTGGAAGGGGCTTGTAAAGTGTAATGGACAAAGTACTAGAATGTTTTCAGATCGTTAAATATTCTCCCTTAGTAATTTCTGCAGGAAAAGTGAGTTTTCTGTTGTGTAGCTGAGTAAACAGCATGACATTAACCCTCCCACCTGACTGAAGAAAAACCTTATTATTAGCTGAGCAGATTTTCCAGAAGCAGTTCTTCTGGATAATACAAAGTAGGCCAGACATGTTAGTAGCTAGAAGGAAAAAACATCAGGAAACCTGAGCGAAAGGAAGTCAAGATTCCAAACTTGGCTTGGTTAATATTTCAGGCTGATCCAGGCAAAATTAATAACCGGAGGGCAAATCCTTTGATACAAAGGGATGCAAAGAGTGGCTCAGTGTTTGATAGTGCTGTGCGTCAAACACTTTGATGACTTGCCTTGGTCGGTGGTTTCGCTAAACAGAGGTAATTTCACGGCTGTGCCACCTTGCTGTGCCCAGCAGTGCTGCTGGTGCCCACTAACGCTGCTGTCCCCGCAGAGTGCGGCCGCCGCCCCGCCGCCCGCATGAGCAAGCGCATCCTGGGCGGCAGGACCAGCCGGCCGGGCCGCTGGCCCTGGCAGTGCTCCCTGCAGAGCGAGCCCAGCGGGCACATCTGTGGCTGCGTCCTCATCGCCAGGAGATGGGTCCTGACTGTAGCACACTGCTTCGAAGGGTGAGAGCGCTCAGACATTCTACTGCTCATATACTGCACGTGTGAATTAACCAGTCCTTCTCCCTCTACCAAACACACGGGGCACAGGTGGAGACCTTTGCAGAATGGCCAGTCACAGAGACCTGGTTTTAGGAGGCTAAAAAAGGTACCAACCACATCAGCTTAGGTTTTCACGTGTTCTATTATTCATTGCTGGCATCTCTACTGCTAAAGCTAAATGAAGATGCCCTGACTTTCAGCAGGAAACAGGAGAAGGAAGAACACCAAATCACTAATTCTATAGCTGTCATACAACTGCCATGGGTTTAAAAATCATCCTCTGTACCAGGATAGAAAAAACCTTGAAAAAAAGCTGTGGCCACTGGTAAAAAGAAGAACTGAATATTTACTCACAGTGCAAATGACATATTGAAGTCACTGCCTTTTCTTTTTATACATTCCACTCTTTTGTTAAAATTGCAGTGATTAACAAGTCAGTATTAACAACTGAGTACCTCTTGGTACCAGAGGCTGTGGTGGAAGGACAGTCTGGAGTGCAGAGGATGTTTACATGTCTTAGCAATTGTTTTGATCATTGCCAACTTTTTGGTGCTAACCAATATTTCTTCTTGATGAACCACAGATTTCAGAGGGAGCTTTATTACCTGATTTATTTTGTTGTGTACCAAAGTTTTTTTTTTTTGGTTTCTATACAAAATTTTAACAAGTGTTTTCTGCAGTAGTTAGCAAGTACTTCTCTGGCATATGGTTGCTTAATCCTGCTTTATACTGGTGCTTGCTCACTGGAAATTATTTTAAAGTGCACAAAGCACTTTCTTTGTGTTTAAGGCAGCAGAAATTCTATGTTAAGCAAGATTCTCTTGAACTGATATTTCTTTATAGTGCTAGTTACTCGCTTTTTCAGCAAAAATTTAGATATTGTCTTTTTATTTCTGAAAAACTAAGTTCTTTGGTGTTTGTCCTCCTAAACTAACAGTTTGCTAAACCTGTATAATACAAACAAGAGTACTGTATTTTATCAGATTTTGGGTCCAGAAGGAATATCTCTTCCTTCTCCATCTATTTTTAAATATACTGCTGGAATATTTCCTATCCTTTGGAAGAACACTTTCTGGTGATCTAAAATAAAGGGTGGCACAGAGGTTGATTCTTCAGCAATATTGGACTGCTATTGAATTTCCTGGATAAGATTCCTCTCATTACTGAAAGATAAGCAAAGCAGCTGTCACATTATGAAGTAAAAATTCTCCCAGTTTTGTCAAATGCAGAAAAAGTGCCACTACACTTTGGAGCTGTTCATTTACTCCTCATGTAGAGCTGCATAATATCCCTGTGAGTTAAGAGTATAACTTGTTAACAAGTTTTTTTCTCATTTATATTCTGAAGACCTTAAAGCACTAAGATATTCTTCTGCCTTTCTGAATAGATTGGGGGGCATGTACCCAGATGCCTGAAATCTTGAAATTCTTCTTTTGTAAGAACTTTTTTTGTAAGCTTAATATATTATCAGCAAGACCACTCCTTACGGGTTTTTTGGACATAAAGCATTTAAAAAATTTCCCAAACCAACCGGATAAGACAACAATATAAAGAGATTTTAAAGTGCTCTGGTCCTTTATACAAAACACTCCATTTTGTGAAACTCATGTGAAGTTTGGAATACAAAACATAAGGACCATATAAAAACAATACAAATAGCCATGAATACTAGTAGAGGGCATAAATAGAAAGAGCTGCATTAACGTTGTGTCATTTGCAAGTTTTCTTATTGCAGTCCCCAGAGTTTTGTCAAGATCATTTTGAAATGCACTACATTAAAGCATCCAAAACATTTCAAGATGTTTTTTTTCCTTATGTGTGGCACAATACATTCTAGCTGACTAGTTATTTCTGTAGGCAGTGCTGTTTTACAATGGTCATAAGCACAATAGTACAGAAATATTCTCATAAACACAATAGTATATAAATATTCTCAGCACTTCATTGCTGTAACTGTATGGAGCAGCTCACGAATTGATCGTGATGCTAAAATGATCATTATAGTCTGAAATGCCAGAATTTTCATCCATAATTTTCATCAACTCTTAAGATAAACGTAGTCTTGACTTAGCAACTGAATCTCTACAAATTACAGGAATTAAAATCCTGTTGAGCACCATGAAAAAAGCTGAAATTTTGCATGGTTTTGCTTGCACTGCTTTGAATAAGATTTCGTCCTGTCAAAGGTGCTTAGTTACAGGGAGTTTTCTTTCAGCAGTTGTGAAAAATGGTCACTTTTTTGCAGAGCTTTTATCATCACAGACTAATTAGAAACCACAAAGAACCTGCAATTAATCCTCAGTTAAGACTGAGAGATTGCAGCCTCAAAGCCTTCCATAAAATCTAGGCTTTTCTGATGTGTCTCAACAGACAATAGTTCAGTATTCCCCCCTGTATCATATGTATCATTGCTTTGTGATCTTGTATGTTTACCCAAAGAGTCTGTTAAAAATTTAAGAGTCAAAGTAACCTTTGATCTTAGGCATAGAAAGTATGCTTGGCACAGACTGAATGCTGAATAAATAAGAGATTTTTCCCATGGCTATCATAAAATATTTAATTTACACAATAAAATTGCTTATTTGAGACTCCTTAGGGTTTTCAGCGAGACTTAACTGCTGTCAGCAGCAGACTGCTGAACAATATTCTCACCCCAGCAAAGTTTGTATGTGCCCACCACTGAGCATGTGAGCAACTAATGCTGGGAACGATCCGTGGGATGGCTTTGACAGCCTTTAATACAGCAACTAATACATGGTTACATATCTTCTGATGGAGTGAGCTTTAATGTGTTGGATTACAAGCAGGAGGGAAATGGAATGCATTGACTTCTGTTGCTCAGATCTTTGCTGTAAGGAATAATGCATAAATACCTGTTTTCTTCTTGTAGTATTTGTACACTTTGCAAAGTGTAGTGTACAAAAAGGGAGAAAAATATCTCAGGTATTTTAGCTTAAAAAAAAGTCCTTGACTGAAATTTCACTTTTTTTTTTTCTTTTTTTTTTTACAAAGAAGAGAAAATGCAGCTGTCTGGAAAGTAGTGTTTGGGATCAGCAATCTTGATCACCCAACAAGTTTCATGCAGACCCGACAAGTGAGGACCATCATCCTCCATCCACGCTACAACAGAGCAGTTGTAGACTATGACATCAGCATTGTGGAACTAGATGAGGACATCAACGAGACAAGCTATGTAAGACCTGTCTGCTTGCCCAGCAAGAACCAGTTGGTTCAGCCAGACACCTACTGCTACATCACGGGCTGGGGACACATGGGCAACAAAAGTAAGATTAAGAGTATTTCTGTGACTTTTGAAAAACATGTGAAGCTTCTACTGAGTTAATCAAGCAAGAGATACCATTAGAAACTTTTATCCATTTATACTATTACTGGATGTTAGTAAATACTAGGGAAGTGTAACTACTCTTGAAGGGATCAAGCTGTGACTAGAGCCTAGTTTTTTCAAGCAGCAGCCTCAATTTATGCTCCTTAATATTTACTTAGACACTGACTTGATTTTTAAAAATATTGAGGATCTGGAAACCTCTATCAAGAAAGTCTCTCGCATTAGTTATGATTTTGCCCATCTAAGTTGCAGTCAGAATGGTATTGCAAAGGTACCACCTCTTCAGTGTAGGGGAAATACTCTTAGCTCAGTGAAAGCTGGAGGCACTGGAAGCACTGGCATACTGGCTGGAGGAACAGGGTCATGAATCATTTTGTACTTGTGAGAAAATTTATTCCACAATCACAAGTGTTGTTTTTGTATCTCTGAATAGAATTTTAATGTGTTGTCTTGTTTTGGGGCTGCCACAATCCTTGACAAGAACTGCCGTGTTAGGTAAATCTTTGTTCAGGCAAAATAATTCTGCATGAATAGTATGCAAATTAGCCTGGCCCCAACACTTTTAGAGCACTAGCCATTGTGTTTCTCTTTGATATTATTACAATAATTACTTGGGATGGCTTTTCCATACGCTGGGTAAGGAAATCTTCCTTTCTGTACTGCTGCAGTGGAACTTCAGCTGTAGTGGCCAGTTTAGATGAGGTAAAAAATTAAATTGGATACGTGAATGGTAAGCTGTTTACTAGAATCTCTATCCATCTAAAATATCCCTATATGATGTCAGGAAAAAAACTCCAGCAGAATGTTTTTGCAGACTGGTAAATAGTTTTTTTGTTCTCTAATGTGGTCAGAGTTGATTTTAAAGGTTTTATGCTAGGAAGCATAAACCCTTCGTGGCTACATAGCATTTGGTACTGCTTACCCTAGGTTTAACAACTTTGATTAGAACTTGAGCACATTCAGTTGCTTGGACTAGGAAGAAGTCTTCTATTGTCTCTTGAACATATTACAATAATTTCATTAGGTTCAAATCCTGATTTCCTGGTACATCCTGTAAATCAAATTTACCCAAACATAACCAAAACGGCTGTGATAATTACCAAGTTTTACCATGACAGACACCAAGAAACAGGGAGGTCCTGCCCTGGAAGAGTGAATCAAACCTGTTGCCCACCTCTTTCACATTACTATTTTCCAGCCACCACTGCCCCCATGTTGAAAGTCACAAACTGCAGCACGTCAAGGTGCTAATGCTCAATAAACAGCAAATATCACATCAGTCCCAGTGTGCTTAGTCCTTCTCCAGAATGCAACACATAGTGCTCTTTACATTTAATACATATATAGAGAGCAATATTTATAATGTATCCCAGTGGAAATGTTTGTTGTGCCTCATGGAGTCATAACAGGTAAGTATTTATGAATTTGTGTATAGTAAACAATTCTGTTTTTCAGTGCCTTTCAAGCTTCAAGAAGGAGAGGTTCGCATAATTTCCTTAGAACAATGCCAGTCATATTTTGACATGAAAATCATCACCAGCAGGATGCTATGTGCTGGCTACGAATCTGGCACTGTGGACTCTTGCATGGTAGGCTTCTCTGTAAGGGGAAACAGAAAGTTTCCAGAAACAAAATTGCTTTTAGAAATCAAAATACTGTGATGTTAATTAGGTGTAGCATACTTTCTATTCTAGGAATGATAGCTGTCTATTTACATACTTTAACCCAATTTTTGTTATTGCTGTTACTTTTAATATTGGTGTAAAGAACTTATCTTCATGCTAGCAAAATGCCCCTTGAAGACTCTAGGGTTTATCTGTATTTGTTACATTTTTTAATTTGTACGAGCCTTTTGCAGGTTATTTTTCATACAAATGTAATGGGTAATAAATACTGGTAATGCTGCATGTGGCTACACAGTTCAGCAGGTTTTTACAGCTGAGTTATTTGCTGGAGGCAAATGGCTGTAGGAAATGTGATACAGCTTTGATGATGAGTGCTGGCCACGTGTATAATAGACTGTTTTTAACTTTCCTGTTGCAGGGTGACAGTGGAGGACCACTTGTGTGTGAGCATACTGCCGGGCACTGGACTTTGTTTGGTTTAACATCTTGGGGCTCTGTCTGCTTTTCCAAGGTTTTGGGACCTGGAGTTTACAGCAACGTGTCACATTTTATTGAGTGGATTGAAAGACAAATATACATCCACACCTTTCTGCTAAACTAACTCCAGATGGTAAGAATTGTGCTGACAGACAAAAGAAAAAAGGAATCAGCCCTTCAATACTGAAGGTTTTGCAGTCCAGAAACTCTGTGAAAAGGAGTTTCAAGCTCTATCTATTCTTGTTGTGGAGCTATGGAATATGCAGTGTGTGTTACCGGTAAATCCTCTGCTCATGAATATACTTTGTGGTAGAATTAATAATCCTTTTGACTTTTCTTTTAACTGTGTTGTGGTGCTATTCTAAACACTGCAAAAAGCTTAAAAGAAAAGAATCAACCACTTTCTGCCTTTCAGCTATTAAAACTAAGCAGTAGCACAGACTAGAAAAACTTTTTAAAATAACCTATTTTAATACTACTCTATTAGTAGCACATGCATTTTCACTCACTTCTTGTGATGAGGAAGGAACTTTGTGCATTCACGTGGCACCACAGGACATACATTCACAAGGAAACTCTCAACAGGGCCATACCACATGCTGGAGAGTGTGGAAGAGATTGATGGGTTTGTACATCCATGTGGCACAGGACACATCAAAGCACACGTGCAGGTCTCCAAAGGTGTGTAGCCATATGCTCCTGGACTCCCTGAGCTAGTGCATTTTGTCCCTCAGGGTGGTTAATTTGCATGGCCATAACTCTGTACTGTCCTGATTCCACAGCTTCTGTTCCCAGAGCCAGACTGGGCATCTCTCTGGAGAACCAGTAGGCAAACAGACCCATAACTACCAGCAGAGGCACTAGAGACCAAAACTTTATTGTTCAGACTCTGGACAGCTCTAGCACTTAATCTTCTGAAGCTTCCAATGTCCTAATGTGTCCAGGGAACACCCATGCCTCAGCAGCACCACACTGAGCAGTGCATTTATCAAACCTGTGCCCGACTGGCTTTCCTCTTCACAATGTATAATGTGTTCAGCATACAAAGCATTCACTAACCATCTCCAGCCCTCTTAAAACTTAAAGAGGGTTGGCAATACCACTGCAATGGTTTTGCCTCCTAGAGTCAGCTAGTTTGGACATATTGTGAGACATGGAAAATGACATGAAAATGCAGATTTAAAATGCAAAAGATGCAGTGTGGGCACCGTCCCAAATATTGGGGAACTGGTTAATTTTTATAGGTCTCTTCTTGTACCCTGCATTTAAAGTTTAATTTTGACTAGCAAGATAAAACATTTGGGAAAAGGAAAAAAGCAGAAAGAAAATGAGTGATAGAAGGCTTGGGATTTCAGCTTCTGTTCAAGTGAGTATTAGAAATAGCAGAAGCAAAGTACAACAGCTTCACCAGCAAAAGCTTGAGGAGCCCAGCTCAAGTGCTTGGTAGCTGGATGTGGAGTGCTCTGAACAGTAGTAGGACAGTAAGCCTTAACTCCACTTAACTCCAAGAGAATTGGGTTGGAAAAGATTATGATGGAGCTTGGCACCTTTTTATGGTGCTAGAGGGAAAGTGTGTCCATTCAACTGCTGTAGATGATGTCCTGCACAGCTATCAGCTTTTAGGAGGCCAGAATAGGATAAGTCAGGAATCCAAGGATTACAGGACAAATTCCACTGGGGAACAATGCATTTAAAATCTGTGTTTTCAGTGCTGTGCCTAGTCCCCTGTGAATACAGCCTAAGGCACATAATAATCCTCTTTGCTACCTCTGGCACAGCCCCATGACAGCAGGGCAGGGCCTTGTCAATAGCACGACTGCCGCATGTGAAAACGTGCATAAAAAAGACCTAAGACATGGACATTTCAGGTACTATGAATCATGTTGCAACTCATCTCCACAGATCTACTGCTTTCATGAAGGTTAATCTCTTATCTCTATATCTTCTCCTTAAACATTGCTAACATTAGAACATTAGTCACACTAGACTGCACTGTTGACATGAATATTAATAAATACTCAATATTTATGTTATGGATTCTGAAACTGTTTAAGTGATTATTCAGTCACTGTTTCATGCTCAGAAGGGAAACTCTTCAAGGCTTTGCTAGGTTTGAGTGTTGGGTTTTTTTAGTACCTTAAACACTGAAAATACTCTTCTTGCCCCTGTTATAAATGAGAGAAAGCAGCTGTGACCATGTTTATCTAGTGCAAGTAGATTACGGCTGAAGCACGTTGTTTATGTTCTTGCCTCAAGGATATGGAGGCTGGAGCTCTCAGTCCTCATTCAGCTTTCCTCTGGGGCTGTAGGGCAGAAAAGCTCTGAGTCCTGGAGCTGGTTCAAGAGTTCCCTGAGGAGAAGGTGGCCCAGTGGTTGTTAAAGCCAGCTGGCTGGACTCAGGTTCTGGCCTGGTCTGTTTTCCAAAGAGGTGCTGCTGCAGAATGAGCAACCCAGCCTGGCTTCTTTCCACCAGATACCGTCGGTGGTTAGCAGCTTTGAATTTTGTAAAGCGCCCGAGTTCATAAAATTATTCATGTAGATATTAGCATTACCAAATGATAACATGATAACTACACATCTTAATTACCTGGATTTGACCTACCACCAGCTTCCAAGCAGTCCCTCCCAGGAAATGAGGCAGAGTCCTGCTTAAACATAAGGTCCAGGCCCATCCTATATGGGACGTCTGAAGAAATTCCAGTCTGAACCCCAGCCCAGATGGCTCTAGGAGGGAGCACTTGGGTCTTATCCTTTCCCACAACTGTGTCTGACACAACATTCCATGTAAAGAGGAAATTTGTAATTTTACAGATGTATTTTTATACAGGGTTTTTTATGTGTGCACATGAAATAGGCAAACATGCTCCTCCTTCCACTGCATCAGGCCTTTTCCTGTGTGCTGACACAATGGCTATGATCACAGTTATGCTGTTTGTCTCACAGGTGTAGCCTCATTGTAAGGTAACATTTGTTGGTTTTGCTTCTACCACAGCTGTATCTCCAAATGGAAGCAATGCCACTCAGTCAAGCCAATGTGTTTCTTTCTAGTTGTACTAATAAAAATTTACAATCATTTTCCAAATAACTTCTGTTGAAAATGTGTTTTAATCTTTGGAGAGACTAAACGATAATATGGAGGTAACAAATTATAACTTTAGCAATAATGCCTAAAAATAGCCTTCAAAAGGCATTTTTGAATCCTTAGCTGACTTTTTTTTAGCAGCCCTGTTAGTACTGCAATACTTGTAGAGATTCTGGCACTACTACCACTGTACAACTTTTAGTTTTTTCTGTGTGTATGCTTCCAATACAGAATATTACTATGAATACTGCTGCTAACAACTACTCTGAGCTTAGAAATCTGAAAAACTAAAGCTGCAATCAAATCTGCAATCTGAACACATTTTGTTCTATAATTTTGCTCTGGAATGCAATTAGTTTTAAATTTAAAAAATCTCTTTTAAGTTGTACACAGAATTTCAACAACAGGTGCACATCCTGAAATCAAAATAATAAGCAGACAGAAGCTTAAAACAGTTAAAATTTACCTTTCCACTGCAATAAGGAAGCTAGGAGCATGAGGGCAAGAGTAACATAATCAGAATAAAACAGGACCAAATAATACAAACCTCACACTAAAATTCAGCTATGGGAATGTTGTTAAGACAGTCACATTTGGAAGTTGCCCATTAGCCTTGGCCAAGAGCCAGGGCTGGTGGGAGCAGTGGGTTCTCTGCTTTAGCTGGTCCTCAGCCCGTCCTAGCCTTGTGCTGTGGCTAGTGGGGCTGTGGAAAAAACAGCTTGGGCTAAACATCAGCTCAGACTGTGCCCCAGGTACAGACCAAAGCTCAGTGTCCTGCCAAAATACTCAGCAAAGGCTGTCGCTGACTGCCACCCACAAATGTTTAGCACAGGTGTGGTTGCTGTGAAAGAAAAAAATTTAAAACATGTCCTTTCTTCTGTAAATCAAATACTGCATATCAAAACCAGAGTCAAGACTGTTCTAGATGTAGCTGCAAAGTTTGGGGCAGCTGAAGGTGGTTGTTTTGGTTTGTTTTAAAATTATAGAAGTATAAATGCTGTGCTTCTTTTCATGACATGTGGAAGGCACCTGTGAGATGCTCTTAAAAAGCTTATTCTCAAAATGGAAAAGTCAGATCATGCTGTGCCTAAGTGCAGAAGCAAGCAGGTGATTGTGACATTTTCAGTGCTAAAAAAATAATAAAGGGAACATTGAACTTCTGGAAAGCACAGGGAGAATAATGTGTTTCCACCCTTCATTTGGCACTACTTTAGTTATGGCCAATTAATATTTTAAAGTTTTTATTAAAGACTCATGACCCTCATTTCACCTTCAGTAAAAGACAGCAAGTAATCACAGCAAATGCGTTCAGCTATTTCTGCTGTTTGTCCACCACAAAAAAAAAACCCAACAAACCCAACCTCAAAACCAAAAAGACTAACAATCAAGCAAAAAAAAAACCAAAAAACAAAACTAACCCCCAAAGCAAGTTTTACCCAACAGGTAATTATGTTATGACCCAAACTGCTTGTTTAAATCCTCTAATAAGACACAGACTGCTGAGGAGTTTTAAGCAATATGGAGTACCAATATGCAATATACACACACATACACACACACATACATGTTATTTTTCACTACTTCAAGTGGTACAACAGCACTTACAATCTCAGCAGAGAGGAACAGTGTCCTGAAAGCCTCACTGCACTAAGCTGTTAGTAATGGAGTGCTGAGACTTGTAAAGAGTCATAATAGCAATTTAAATGTCCCAGAGGCATCATGGAGCTAGTCTCAGGTCCTACACCTGACTCCCATTCATGTTTCTTCATGTAGTTACTTTGATGCCATGGCTTAGTCAGAAGGTTTTGGAAGATCTTACTTTGAATACTTGCAGCTTTTGTATGCAAAAAAATGCAAACTCCTGACACTAAATGATCATCTACCTGTCAGATCTGCTGGTAGGTTCTGCTTCTGCAGCAGAGGAAACAAGAGGGCAAGTCACAGGCTGGTGTTGTCCCCAAACTCTTTTTAACAGAGACAGGGGGGACAGAGCTGAGGCCTGCACTCCCTCAGGTCACTGGAAGTGCTGGAGCTCCCCCATCAAAGTTCAACATACCTCAGTCATAGAGTTAGAGACTTGTAAAACATGGACCAATCTCCTCTCAGTGGCCACCAGTGCAGAGAGGCTGTGGATTTAAAGAGCAGAAGAAACATTCACGACAGATAATGTAAACAAAACCAGTATTTGACTCTGAGGGCAGGAAAGCACTGCCTGTTTCTCTGTAGCTCTTTACAGCAGGATAACATCCACTAGGAAGGACAAGGGTGGAGCTGAGCCTGCCTTGGAGCTGTGGAGCAGAGTAGATGATTTCAATTCATCCCAGTAACTCTCTTCCTGTATGATTCTGCCCCCGTTCCAGCTTGTCTCCCTGCACAACCTGCTGACTGTTTTGCAACCTTGCAGCTCCTATTTCTTGTCGAGTAAGCTGAGATGTTTCACTTGGGAAACCTGGAATACATTCATTGCAAGGTGCTCCACCCCACCACAACAAGAAGGATGTTTCAGATAAACATCTGAAAAAGTAACCTAGACCACCATGATCTCTTGCAATTTGAATGTCTGCCATCACTTCAAAGGCCTCCACTAACTTTATATTAGAACATACCAAAAACATTTTGTCATATGTTGAACTGAACTAAAAAAAAAAATAAATTCAGAAATGGCTGTCATCACTTTCTCCTTCCACTAGGTTTTCTTCTACAGGCTAAACAAGAAGTATATTTGCTCTTTCTCTCCTCACTAGCACTAGGGATAGAGTTAGCCCTAATTACATTTTACCTTTTGAACACAGAACTGTTTTAAACATTTGGTAACATGTGATGACTGGCATTTGAATGAACTCAGCATGCCCTCAATATCTGCCCTGTATAGCAGCAGCTGTCCAGACCTCACAGCGTTTGTATAAATTCTTTCACAGATCTTAAAAGATGTAATGTTGATCATTGATATGGAAAGCTCATGGTTCAATTAGAAAGCAGAGCCCTTGTCCAAAACATGGTGCCTAAAAATAAGCACACAAATCTTGGCAATTTGAAAGCAGAAACTTTAAGAAAGTAACAGAACCAAAAAATGGGCTCAGTGCTAATAATTCATTAGCAGCTACAGTTTGAGGAAACTGTTTATTTCAATAGGTGCTACTGAATACAAACAGATTTCCTAAGCTCCTCTCTAAATTGTCCATGTAACTTTTTGGGAAGGGAAGTGAAAAGGAGGCAATATTTTAGAGAGTCTGGAATCTAGAAGTTGCCACAGGCACCTAAGCCACTTTTTGTACGGTGTGTGAGCAGTGGGAAACTGGCAGAGGGTAGGACTCATCTATCTTTGGAGACAGATGAGCAACAGCAGTCAAACGTGAGACATGCAATGCATGATGCTTTCTTTTAAGCAGCCTTTAGAGTCATTTAATCTGATTATTATAAAAGCCTGGAGGAATTTAAAAGCACCTGAGAGTAAAGTAGAGTGATGTTACCAGCTAAAAGCTGCTACTTGTGAGGGAAGACCTGAATACAGACTGGAGCTCCTCACTGCTGCTGGCAGACAATTTTGCAGTACAGGCATGAGGTAGTTTACATAAAAGACAGCCAGCCAGCATCTGAATTGGGTGAGGTGGGAAAGAAGTCCATTTTGGTGGCTGACAACATGAAATGGCACATGAAGTCAAAATGGAGTGATACACCAGGAGGATGAACTGTCACGGGAAACAAAAGGCTGCACTTAGGATTTGCTCTTTATGTGAAAAAGAAGATGAGGGAAACATGTTACATGTGTCTCATTTGGGCTTCTCTCTTATGGTTAAAATGGTGTTTGTCCAGCAGTGAGATGGCCCATGGTGAACAAACTGGACCACAGTGGTTATATAAACTACTGTCTGCACACACTACAACATGAAATAAAAAATCTTGAAACAAGCCAACCAGTAACAGCACATCTCAGCCCTGTTGCTTACTTCATACTGCAGCAAATGATGAATCCCAGGGTATGCTAGGGTTCTAGGGCAGCAGTTAAGGGAGCAGGCTGACTTACCTGAACTGGATTCTGCAAATCCACATTCATGCAAGGTACTGTCCATAACACCACAAGGTGTTATGCAATGTTACATACAAGAAATAAGCAGTATGCAAAGTCTACTCTGTGAAGAAATATAAAAAATAATCCAGACATTTAGACCTTGAAGATCTTAATAAATTATGGGAAAGTCTTATAAACAAAAAAGCTTTTAAGGAAATGTGTTCACCATCTACCTTGGCTGAAGAAAACAAACCCACAGCATGGCATGAATCAGCAGTTATTACTCCTGCATTTAACCAGCTAGCATTCCAACTTTGTAAAATACAGTAAAGCATCTTCTTCACACAAAACAGAACTCAAAACTGCTTTGTGTGTTAGAGATACAGCGCTGCTGCCCTTTTTAGAAGCACACACAGAGTCTTTGGCACATGAACTATTACCTCTAAATGTAAATGTATTAGTTTCCTTTGAGAAATTCAGTCTTTTCAGAGTTCAAGCCACTTGTACTCCCAGACTCATCCTGAATGTCTGGTAAGAAGGAGGTGTTCTTTACTAACCCATCTCTTGAACAGGTCTGAAAAGGTGTTTTAGATGCTGGCAAACCACTGTCAGTGCTTTTTTCCTCTGATACAGCACCTGCAGCTGAGCTGGAAGGCACAGAAGTAGGTTGGAGCTCCACGCTATAATTCACATTGCACTCATCTTTCCATCTCTTGATTTCTTTCCTCTGCTCCTCGGGGGACAGTCTGACAAGGTACTTGGCTCTCAACACCGGAGATGGAAACAGTGTTCCTTGGAGAACTCTTATCAAATATCTACAAAACAAACACAGTTACAAATAAGCTGTTTAAAAGAAACCCCAAAACTGTTTGCAATGACTAAAATAAATCAAACACCATTCAAATAACCCTGAAGCTTAGTTCTTGGACTAGAACTAGATGATATTTAAGGTCTCTTCCAAGCCATTCTATAATTCTGTGATAGTAGAACTGTCTTAACTGGCAGTTTAGGTTGGATTGAATCAGAGATCTTTTCCAGTGAATTTTCAGGCAACCGGGCATCCAACGTCTATCCCTCCGTAAGAGAACTCTCCTTTAAACCTCCAGTGAAAGCCCCAATCTCATGCTAGAAGCTGCAGAGGACCCCCCCTGGCTTCACAATGCCCCTGAGTGGGGGCTTTTCAGCACCATACAAAGAATCACATCAGAAATAAACATGGGAAAAAAACATACATGTGACAGCAGTAGTCCCATAATAGGTACTTCTGCTTCAAAGCACTGCAGAAGAAAAGCTGAAATTAGCCACAACAGCTAAAAAATAAATCTTCTGAGGTATTGACACAGGGAGAGTACTTATGACTTAAGGAACTTCTAAACAGTTTGCCTTTAATTCACCATGAAAATCACTGTCATCTTCAAAATTCAACAGCCACACACTGGAAGTAGCCACCAAGCTCCTTTATCCTGCCTTGGCTCTCTACAGCCCTACCTAAAGGTCCCAGAACAGCCTTTATCTATTAATCTGTCATGGAGGGGAGATTTACTGTGTTTGAAAGAAAAGGCTCTACTGTCACCACCTGAACCAAGCTGAGAGCAGGGACAGAAAGCTGTGTTTCTTGTGCAAGTGTGAACCAAAGCCATCAGTCAGATCAGATGAGTCATAATCCCAGTGAGTGCAGTAAAACTCTTGATGACATGCTTAAGACACAGATCAGACATGTTCAAACAGGACTTAATACTTGGTGGCCATTGCAGGCATCTACAGGCATGGCTCTGCCAGCTTTCCTGCTGGCAGGACTGATAACTTATGCAGCCTGTACTACAGCACTTGATCCAGAAAGTGTGCTCAGATTGTGTCTAGTGATATTAAATTACATCAGGTGAGCAGGAAATAGCACTTATTCTCCTCAACTCTTCTCAGTATCTGTCTGTGCAATTCAATTTCAAGTCTCAATTCTTTCTGAAATGATGTAAGAGGGAAAAAAAGAGACACAACACAAGAATGAGTAATTAGCACTGGAGGCACTTCACTAGTAGGCTACAGACTTGAGTTCATGGCTCAGGCAGTGAAATGAAGATAGCTATGGCTACTAAAGAAAGCTAAACAGAAGGTTTGATGAAGTCTCTTTCACTGGTTTTCACATGGTTTGGTTTGTTCTGTTGGCTCTGCTCAGCATGCTGGAGTCTTCCACTTCCATCCAACACCACTGCCTTTCCAGGGAGAATGAATTATTAAACTTGAACTTCAGCGAGACAAAAAAAAATATCCAGACCCGTGTGAATCTAGTCAGCATGTTTTCATCCCACAAAGAAGCCTGTACATGCATTCTTCACTCTAAATACTCTTGTATATATTCATGACATAAATTTCAAATAGAAAATAATTTCACAAACTAACACAGACTAAGCACAGTATTTCTTTGTCTATCTATAGTACATGTCCAACTTTGGTCACTACCTTAACTGATTTGTATATAAATTATGAACTCTGTGATTACAAAAATTACTGGTCCTTTGCCCTCCAAAGACAATATTTAATATCATATAAGTCACAAAAGAAAATTTTTATTACTGAAATTTACTTGGAGAACTAAGTGGCACGAAAAAGCTATCCTCATGTAGCTTGGTCTAACAGAGTCATGAAATTTTCATTTTTTTGGGGGGATGCTAGGGAGGAAAGACCTATCCAGAGTTTCATAACATCACTGACTCACAGAAAATGAATTTTGGTAGCAGCAGCAATCTACAATTATAAAACAGAAACTCACCTGGGTAGCAGAGCAATGCAAGTAGTCAGGAGGCAAACTAAGTAAAATACTGGGTCTGCCATGTGCTTTTCCATGATCCAGTAAAAATCTGGTCGTGGGTTGTGGGTTTTGCAGGTTGCTCCAATAGCCAGAGTGAACACAAAGTAAAACAGGATGCTGCCAACTATAACTACTGTATGTACCCATGTCTGCAATTCAGACAAGGAAAGAAATAAGATTTAAGCTGTAAAACAGAAAGACTGTTACATCTGTATTTGCATGAACATGCACACTTTTCCTCCAAGGGCAGCTGTTGAATGTAACTGAGGATACATCTGTTCAGATAATATTCCTAATTTCATACAAAACAATCCAGAAAGAATGGAGCCTTCTTTCTACAGTATACAGGTGTTTCAGACATTTAATTTTTTTAATTCTCATAAATTCATAGCTTTTCATTCTTTTGTGAAAGACATTTCCCTCAGATTACCACCTCATCCACTGGCAGCAAAGAAAGCTTTCTCAAGCAAATGGAGGAAAGATCTTCACATGACACCACCTTTATATATTTTGCTTGAGACATTGGTTACCTTTCTACACTGGAGTTTTTCTGTAATTTTACACCTAAATGGCTATAACAGCTACTAAAAGAACAACATTGTCACTGTTCTTACAGCCTACAAACATTAAAAAATGCCAAACAGAACACATTTAAGTAAATTTCTCTAATAAGAGTGTGAATACACTCGTGCTATATATATGTTCTCAGTAAAGACATTTTAATTATGGCTGTCATACTCCCAAAAGAACAGTTAAAAGACTGAATCACAACTTGACATTTTGTCCATTATAAAACAATGTGAAAAATACTTCTAA